GTCAAAAATACACGGACTTACACCCGCCGCGTTCCCGCCCGACCCGCACTCGCTGTCAGTGTGTTTCACGCTTAAAGTTAGTTTCTAAATAGTAAAGATGACTGAAAGTGTTTTTTATTGATACCAGTGACTGGGCGAACGAGTCGTGCGCCTGGTGGTAAGCGACATGCCTGTCCATAGCAGCTGAATTGAATAATAACTTTACTATTTCTATCTAGGCTGCTTAGTTTGTTTGAAACAAATATACGACGACGACCGTCGAGTGGCTTGCACATCGGTTTTCATGGTGTAGTCATCTCAGAGGTCCCGCATTCGATCCCCGGTTGGGTCAATGTAGAAACTAAATTTTCGATATTGTCTAAGATCTGGGTGTTTGTAGTACCGTCGTTGTTTCCGATTTTTATAACACAAGTGCTTTAGCTACTTATCCGAATAATTTTATTTTCTATGCGTAACAATCGAATGTCAAAAACCTAACAATTTTGTTATAAATTATGTTCGTTTTCATGTCAATTAACGATATTTATGTGTTCAATTAAAATGCGTTTATATTTATATTCATTCAACAAGACAATGCAATGTATCTACAGCCTATAAATGTATGCATGTCTGATCTTTTCACCATGTATAATAATCCGAGCAGTTACTGGTAAACTTTTATATTTTCGAAAAAGTAAATAAAAATGCACATGTACAAAGTGCAAACGCTGCCAGCTACCGTTTTGTTTTCTTTTTGTCACTTACACTTATTCATTTCATTCACTCTTTTTATACTTTCATTTTTTATGGCAACTTTATTTACCCCAGATGAGTGTCGTGTTTATAGACATGGAGGAAATTTTGAAAGTACGCTGATGGAATATCCGCGACGAAAGATGAGGAGTAGTAGCAGCTTTTAAACAATATTTTGGAGAAAACTATTTTTTTCAGTAAATAATATCGAAAAATATATTTGCACATTATGAACATCGTAATATTTATTACAATATTACAATTTATAACTCGACATCTCTTGCCAACTTCTGCCCCCGTAGTATGCCGCTTCGATAAAGCTATTACATCTACATTTAGCTATCAAATTCGAGTGATAAACCGACATTTAAAAATTTTATCACATTAGCAAATATGGCGAGCACCGTGACGTCACATTTTTATGTCATCGTAAGCGCCGGCGACCAATGACTGCAAAAGATTAACACAGTCCAAACATGGCTGCAAGGTCACAGCTGATTTTAAAACATATGCACAGTAATTTTATCAATGTAAAAATTGAGCGCGACAAACGAGATGAAAATACATTTTTTGTTTCATGGTTTTCGTGGCGATGATTATGCGACAAAGATAGCTATATACGCAATTTCATATCGTTATCCTTGTTCATCAAAATGTATAACAATAGTTAATTACCAAATAAGCAAATATAGCTTTGTCATTTTTTGTTTCATCGTTTTCGCGGCGATGAATAAATGACAAAAATAGCTATATACGCAATTTTATAACGTTGTCCTTGTTCTTCAAAATGTAGAATAGAATAGAATAGAATCGTTTATTTCATGTTATCAATGTCACAATACTACAATTGGAAATACAATGTCAAGGGATAACTATGATCGTCAGTAATAAAATTATAATAATAATAATGAATATAAAATAAAGTAGTATAACTACTGCTTGTCGAATAAAATAAAATTAAAATTGTTTCAAAAGAAACTCATCGACACTGTACAATTCAATATCCAA